GTATCCAATCTTGTCTACAATCCTCCTACATCTCTTCGGAAGGAACGTTGTTTCAGAGTTGAAATCGCACTTGGAAGAGACAAAGCAGTTGAACACCTCACAGGAGCAAAACATCCATAAACTGAAGGCTTCTGTGAGGGCGATGCAGGAGAAGTTGGAAACGGTATGTCACCCTATCTGTACCTATCCATAGTTACAGTGACGTATCCCAGACAGACCACGTCGTACGTTGGGGAATCCCCCGCGCGGTGTCGTATTTGGTCGCTAGAGGGAAGGGGGTCGTGTTTGGTTTGAGAAATTTGTTTTGATTGTTGATTTTTCTTGTTTCACGGACGCTATAAGGAGTGGTCGTATTTCCTCGTTGTTGGGAGGGGGGGGGGTGTAGAAGAGGAGGGAATCAGGGCAGCGATCGTATTTACTGAAAATTTTCCCCAGCACCAGGACATGCCCTGACCACAGGATTCCAACAGTCGGTACAGTGCAGTTGCAGGAGTCAGCTATATCCTCCCAGACGAGCCTGGTGAAAAGTTACCAGGTTCAGAACAACCACAGACTGGCTTTTCACTAAGGTAGAGCTGGCACTAGATTCATGCTCACGGTAGCCGAAGCTATTTTTTATCACATGATTTTTTTCTGATTATTTGGAATCAAATTGAAGTTCACCGGGGAATAATCATCTTTCTAGGATACCGAAGAAGTGAGGATTATGCGTGAGCAACTAGAGCATCACCAGAATCTGACGAAGGAGAAGAGCAATGAATGCGCTGAAGTGCTTAAACAAGTCGAGGAAGTGAAAAGGTATGATGAAATATGACATTTGGTACGGCTACCTAGGAAAAGATCGCTCCTGCATTCTCCTGGCCCAGAACGCTGCACTCCCTGGAACCTAGAGACGCTCTGTACGCCAACCTGACCACATTTCAGCAGCTTGACAACACGGTCGCCGCGGGACCTTTTTGCTCCAGGTCTCGTAGCGGACATGTTGGCAAACTAGTAAATTATTGTGAAAACACGCACTTAACAAAACGAAGTAGATCAATGCCTCCATCTGTTGAAAACGTTTTTCACACGCGCAAATTCAGGGAGCGTGATGCTTTACTGGACGACGTTTCTACGTTGAGAAACGAAGTCGCTACCTTAAATGGTCGTATAGCCCAAGCAGAACGTGAAGCTGAGAAGAGGCGTGCTGAGGTGAGTGGGGGACGTATTCTCCTCAAAAATCACCCCATCTCGAGTCCGTTCATTTCCCTGTTTGAAGGATGACGAAAAACTCTCCATACTGGAAGATTTCCGTGAGAACTTCGATCGCCTCACGAATGAAGGAAAGCAGAAGGATGTGCAAATTGATGACTTGAAAGGTACGTTTTCTAAACCGTAGTTCTGGTACTGCGTTAAATATAGACTGGTTCACTCAAAGGCAGAGCCCGCGACGGCCATCCGTCGGTAGTGGGGTATTAGCACGAAAGTCTAGATGTTGAGCACTATCGAAAAAAGAAGAAAATCTAATAAGAGCAGCCCCAAGTACGACACCTAATGGCTGCAAGAGTTTTAGAAATACATAGCGAGGAAAGACTGAGCGTAGCAAAGAGAAACGAGCAGTTTGGTAGTTGGATATCCCATTACACTACCACGGCAGCGATACCTGTGCCACCTGGGTATAGATGGGGCGTAGGACAAGATGTACACAGTACCGCTGCGAAGTCTGCACACAGTGAGCGGGGCATGCGCCCAAAGTTAGCAGTGTCGCAGAAAAAAAATCCTAATCGGTTTCCAGAGGCAGCCCAGAGATGGGAAAAGTGGCTAATAAGGTTAGACTAGGGATGGCCAGAACCCTGTGAAACGACACTCGGATATGGGCGAGCGTCATTTTATAAAGAAGCCGGTTGCTTCTCACACGAAACTCAGTAACCTGGTTCTCGGGAAAGTACAGCGGTGCGTGCACCATCAGGTGGTCATTGAAAGAGCTTCTGCATGCTCAATTATTGATTCTGTCTTCAACCTTTCTGCAGGCCATGGTCGGTTACAGGATTTAAAGGAGAAATCCCTGATAAAAGGATGGGCAGGTAACTCTCCCTCTAGTATGGTGAAGAGGAGGTGCGCATCAATGAAGAAGGTGCAACGGTTGTGGGTCTTCTCCCAGCTCGCCACCCATCCCGCTATAGCAAAACATTTCTTTAGCCGCTACTCAAAGGCCAGAGTTTTTAGGTTCTTGAACTGGTACCTCTTTCAGAGCAGGTGAAGATGATGCAATCAGAAATAAAAGAAGAAAGAAGAATTGATAAAAGTCGAAAGAGTACGGCATGAGGAGAGTTTCACTGTCAAGGAGAAGCAGCTCGAGGAAGACTGGTCGATGAAACTCCGAAAAGCGCAGGACGAGTTGGTATGTACTCTGTGTGAAAAAGGCCTACTTATCCTCCAAACATTTGTTCAGGCTCATAGCGAAAGACTCGTCAAGGAAAGCGAGGGCAGACTGGATCAGCTCGGCAGGTTGTACGAAAAGTTGACGGAAGAGGAACGAAATCTTAGTCGAGAGAATGCTGAACTTAAGTGAGTCCAGCTCCCACTGCTCAAATCTTGTTCAGTTCTAATGAAGTGTCGTCAGGGAAAAGCTGCAAGAAATGACTACGAAACACAAGAACGAAATGCAGGACCTCGTTGAGCAGAACACC